CGGCATCGGTTGCAGTGGTCTAGGAAGCTTTGAGGGAAGTGGTGGGCTTCTCCGGTGTCTTTGTCGGTGAAGGCGATGGGGCGGGAGGAGAGTGGTGGGATGGTGATGGTGTAGAGGATGTGTGAGCAGTCGCAGCCTCCGTGGAGAGTGAGGCCTTCGGCTGGGAGGGGAGACATTTGGTGAGAGGCGATTTGATCAAATGGTAAGTTGGGGAGAGAGCTCCTGCTCTGATGTATTGTAGAAGGTATCCGATAATGCCTTTGGCAAAATTCTGGTTAGATAGAAGACGTCGAGCAACAGGGTTGCCACTGAGGGGTAATGGCGGGGTAAAGTCCAACCGAGGGGAAGTAAACAAAGGCAGGACGACCGAGATATAATAAATGATAGGACAAGTGTGAGCCACAATTCTCCCTTTTGAAGCTCCAGATCTCAGAACCACGAAGATAGTCCACTTTCATTCACAATCTTTCACAACTTCCCATACTCACCATGATCTCATTTACCCCTCCTTTCACGTGACTGCCCCTCCATCCCCAAATCCTCTCTTCGCGTCATCCAAACCCCATCACCCTGCACCCATCACGCACCGCCCTCTCATCTACTTCAGTTCTCCCCTCTCAAATCAAAATGTCAACACCCATAGATTACGCCAACCTCCCAACACCACCAGCAGCCGTGGCAGATTTCTGCTTGATCCCTGTGAGTTCCGACTTTCATCAACTGTCGTCACCTCATCAAGCCCGAATGAAGACTTTCGGAAAATCAACACAGAGACAGAAGAAATGCTAACGATATGGATAAGATCGGAACACCCACGGCTTCGGTATCGAATGAAGTCGCCGCTGTACAACGACTTATGAAAGCCAGTGGGCTGAGCTACTCGATGCATAGTGCTGGAACGACGGTTGGTAAGTCTTACGTTGATCTCAGGCATTGTTACATCAACATCAGATCTCTGTTTAGAAACCTCTTCAGCTTTCACGTTGAGAAGACATCTGAGTTACCAAATCTCTGCAATACACCTCCCAATTCCAACCACATCATCTCATTCCCCCCTCCTCCCCTCTCGCAAATCACTAACCAACCACCCCTTTCGCTCCAAACAGAAGGATCCTGGGACGAAGTCATGCGTCTAATCGGCCAAGCCCACACCCTCGTCCATCAGAACGGTGTCCTAAGAGTCCAGACTGATATCCGAGCCGGCACGAGGTATTTACTTCCTTATCATCTGTCTCCCCCTCCTGTCTTATCTCCTTTTTCTCATACTTGGAAGACGCACTTGTTTCGGACAGAGGAGTGGAAGTAGAATCCAAAGCTGATATATCTTACAGGACAGACAAAAAACAGCACTTCTCAGAAAAAGTAACCAAGGTGGAGAGTATCCTCGCCAGCGATAAGAAGGAATGAGCATTCATACTCCAAATCACATTTCTTTTGCCGTATAGACTACAGACAATGTTGCTTGCTCCTCCCTAAACGATGTCCGTTCTTGTGATCGAGCGTGTACGATAATGCCATTATTCTTGCTTCTTTCTTGGTAAATAAAAGATGAGAGATACCAACCATTTAAATACCGATAGAACATTTCGATCGAAAGCAGATTATATACAGTACATACCCCTAGCGGTCGTCCTCCGAAAGATTAAAGTAGAATAAGACATTTTAGTCAGTCTGGCACGTCAGGAACGTCTGCGACTTGGCACATCAGGGATGATATTCGAACAAGTTACAAGCTTCAATCATCTCTTCTGTCCTAGCAGTCTGGCACAGATTAATGAGTGAGGATATTTCCAGTTTAGGTAGGAAAAAGAACTTGTCCTGGTTTCATGCCGCTTAGCATGCCATACTCTTTCTTTTCTCTCCATTTCCTCTGGACGACATTAGAATCATCAAAGTTGCACAAACAATCAAGCCGTGGGAAAGTATGTTGCCACCAAAAAAGGGCTTCCTGAATTCGCTTGCTACTCAACGAAGGTCAATATAATCAAACCACCACACCACCATCATCAAATCGTTTCGCCTACTTCCTCACTTTCCTACATTCACACTCCCTCTTACTCAAACCCCCATTCTTATCCTTAACGACCGCAGCGCCAGCCTTACGACCTCAAAGCCTCAAGCTCCAACTCCAATTGTCTGATTCTCTCACTCTGGTCCTGAGTTCCACTACCAACCCTCATCTTGAGCGTGTCAACCTCCTGTGTCAAACCAACGATCTTCTCGCTCTGGGCATTCAGTGTCCGTGTCTGAGCCTCAAGGAGAGCTTTAATCTGCGCCAAAGACGACTCGACAGATCCGTTTGAAGAAGATCCGACAGAAGACGGTGGTGCAGCTGAAGTCGGGACGGTTGTTGGGGATTTGGCGGCAGCAGGTGCTTGGTAGGATCGTGGAGGCGCTTGGGATACTGGAGATGGCTTCGGAGGTTCGGTCTTTGTTGGGGAGGTCTTGATGGGTGACACGGGCTTCGATTCTACACGAGCTGCTGCTGGAATATGCTTCTGAATAGGCTTAGCAATCTCCTCAAAGCTAGAAGCATCATCATCATCGTCATCTGCTCCGTCGTCCTGGAATTTGGATGCCATAGCAGAGATTGAACCTTTTTGTTCGGACATGGTAGGCGGAGGAGCTCTCTGGACTGGGGTTGGAGCTGGCTCCTCCTTCTTCGGCGCAGCTTTGGCTGGCGATGGAGCTGAAGCTTGAGCCGGTGGCTTGTAATCTGATGCAACCTCAACAGGTGCTTTACCCTCATACACGCTCTCCAGATCGATTTTGGCTGGTATTCCATCTTTTCCTGATAACCACTCTGCGGCTGAAACAGCTGGTTTGAGACCAGTTGCTGGTGGGAAGATATCCGACTGGAAAACCTCTGCTCGTCTGGGGACCGTGAAGGAGATAGGTTCAATGTAGCTATCGTTGACCGTCTTGTATGCTCGCATAACTTCGTTCTCGTGGACCTATCCACCATTAGACATGTTTCACAACTCTGTCATTCCACTCACATTTATGCCGCGTCTTGGGACGAATGCCAGACCTCTCTGTGGATCTCCAGACTTGTATTCGGAAAGAAATTCGAACTTGTCGTTTTCGTACTCGAAATATCGGATATTACCATCACTACATTGTCAGCAAAGTCTCCTACAATGAATGGAATACTCACCCTTTGCCAGCCAGGTACAAACATTGTGTTCCATCATCTAAGAATTGTCAGCCATGATTCCGACACGATTCCAAAGACCTTACCCCAGAATGGCATGCAGACACCAGAGATAGAGTCTAATACAGTAAAGCCTCCAAGAGGTTCTGCAGGAGCTCCAACATCCCATAAAGCCATCTGCCGATCACTCATCTTGGAGAAACCAGTAGTTGCCAAACGATTGTGTTCACCCATCCAGACCACTCTGCTGTTCTTTGCACCGCTGTGTCCTGCAACCTCGTGTGCCGGTCTCTCTTGTCGCACATCCCACACCCGTAGCTTCTTGTCTCGAGACGTCGTAGCAAGCATAGCTCCGTTCGCGCTCCATGATAAGCTCTGTACGATATCGCCATGCTTTAATGTGAGGGGTGCTTTTCCACTCTCAACGTCCCATAGCTTGATTGTGTAGTCGCCCGAGGCCGATGCAAGTATATTTTCTGCCGCGGGGTTGAAGAGAACCTGTCCAACTTTTCTGCAAGATATTAGACAAGCTGCTTCTCATTGTATTGCTTTTCCCCAGATCTGCGACCTACCTCGAATGTCCAGTGAGTTTGCTGATCGGGGCAACATCTGTTGGCTCCTCCGCATCAGAGTAGAGAGTGAAGCCTTGCGGGACCTGCCATATGAAGACCTTTCCATCATCAGATGCAGAAGCAATGAGCCGATCATTGAAGGGATTCCTGTAGCCGCAGCCGTTAGCGCATGCCCCTCTAAGAGATCCTCAACTCCACGCACCAATCCGTATCCAACACCGGCCCAGTATGTCCACGGAACAAAGGGATCTGCTCAGGCAGTCTGCCCTTCTCATTGACGGGTATCACAGCAAACGCGCCGCCTCCACTGGCCTCCCAATTGACAGCAAGATATTCGGGGTTTGCCTGCAAATCGTGTTGTCAGCTCTGCCCTGTCTGGCCCTCTTCAAACGCTTCCAATGCGGGATCCCACCTTCACCAAATTCGTATCCCATGCATTGCGACTGATATGGAGGTTGTCGTAGCAGGATTCCTTGCGTGTGGACTTCCCAAAGACATGTCCTGCGCTGTTGTCAGCTTGCCCTCGTGCACCAGCTCGGTCTGCGCATGAAACCTACGATATTTCGACGCGCGCACGAATCTGCCTGCCATTCAGATCAATGTATTTGTGGGCGGAAGAGTATCAATATTTCGGGTATCAGCGAGCGGTGGTGCTGTTGTTGTGATTGTTTATTGTTTAGTGGTGAGCTTGGGTTCGCTTTCAAGTTTGGTGGTGGTGGTGGTGGAGTTGACGATCCACGATATCCTGGAATGATAGGCGGCGGGTGCGAATCAAAGTGAATCGACATGCGCAACACCTTCCTTATGCGATACTCGGTTGTCGACTCAGGGGAAGCTGTGTTTACCCCTATTCCCTCCTCTATTTACTTTATTGCATGACCTCGTTTGTCTTTAACTTGAGTTCCACGTTTCAGTTGCCCCTTTTCGTCATCTTCAGTACAAGTGCTATTTTTAGCAAGTTCAAACCATGTAGCCAATTTCTGACTGCTATCGCTGTAGTGAATCATTCATACAAGGAGAACATCTTTAGCGAGATCAACAGTTGCTCTTCACTCGTGCAAACCATATTCCATCGGCTACTCCCCCTTGTGTTGATAGTTGCATAGCTCGTCTTCCACTGTTGATTCTTGCCTTGGATAGCTCTTCCTGGTCGATCGGGAGATTCTCGCTTCGGAGAAGCCGGACTTTACCACATTCTGTGCTCGACTCCCCACTCTTGCTCGTATGTAGTCACATAAGAATTTTCGAGCATAGCACATGCTTCAAACCAAACAAGTCGCATGGTCTAATGGTTATGATATCTCGTTCACAATCAAATGAACATGTTCCGAGATGGTTCTGAGTTCGATCCTCAGTGCGACTATTCTTTTGCCTTTTTTTTGTCTGCTACTTCAACTTGTTTACAGAACGGAGGTATATTGATCCAAGTTCGTTTATTACTCCATTGGCATCACTGTTGTTGTTGAAGCTTGAAATTTTCCGATTTTTGCACCCCTCATCTCTACCCCACTCCGCACCCTCCCTCTTCCCCACCAGCTTTTGCTTCATCGGGACTACCTCCGTAGAGAGCGTAGCTCGACCACAGACTCACTATACTCACAATTTACGTTATACCACCTCTGGATCTAAAAGTTTATATTTTTTTTCCCCTGCCTAGCAGTGGTCATTATGAATCTTGTCAGAAGTCCCAAGAATATGCCAGTACATCGGAAACACAAAAAGAACTGTCTTCAGACAGCTTCCTCGCGTCATTCCAGGCTTGGGCCAGCTTGCAACAGCTGCAGAACCAATGCAAGATCCTCATTTTAAGGTCATTTGTGATGAGGAATGACAAAGTGACATTTCGCTTGAAGATTCTTTCCTCTGGAACTGGCCTGCTCAAATTTGAAAGCGTCGTCCCCGATCCTTCCCGGATTTTTCATGCTTGATTCTGCTTTCCGTGATGATATTCTATGGCCGTTTGTACGTGCCTAAGTACTTCTCACTTCTACACCCTCAATCCCCATGACCCATTCTATCCGACGAGGCAGGGATGGACCTGAACCAAGTTTCGACGATTTCCTACACGGACAAGGGCAGTCAAGAAATGATTTGCCATGGCAAAGCTCCATCAGGCCATCAGGCATCAGCACAGCCGTTTTGGAGATAAGGATCGTGAGTTGAGTCGCTTGTCGGGCCAGTAGCAAGAAGAATTCAGAACGTCCAACCCGCCATCCTTGCGTACGTGGAACGTGCATTACGACGATCTTCAAGCCTGCTCGCTCACCGAGAGCCATCATCCGTTCGCTTCCCAACTTGACCCTACCAAGCACACACGTGATAAATGTAATTCTACAAACATTATATTCCGACGATGAGTACCTACCACCATCACCATTAATTTTTCCAATCACTAACTAACTCCTAGCCGGCCTAAGCAACACTCTAGCCATAATCTTTGGCATCCTCGCAACAATCGTCGGAGTCGGTGCAATCTTGGCAACCCTCCACGCACGTGGTCAGCGACTTCGCTTAGGTATTTACTACGCATCTCTCTCTCTTCATATTCATCCTTCCCGGAGATCAATTACTGATTTCTAGTATTCAGGTGATCCCGAAAGACCAAGTTCTTCGATCGCTCCACATTCAACTCAACCAGTCGACCCCATGACTCGCTTAATTGAACTCCTTCCCGAAATAATACACGGCCACCATTCTTCGAGTCCATACCGGAATAGTCGTATCAGCGATGCAAGCCACGATCGGTTGGATTGATCAATCCCTCTGCTGCGTTCGAATGTCGGGGGAGTGATGCGGTACTTGGCTGAGTGGATTAAGATAGAGCGATGAATGGTTTTTTTTTTTTTTTTTTTTTTTTTTTTTTGTTTGACTGTTTATGTGGACGACTTGTTGAACACTCCATGACGCGTTTTATGTAACCATTTTTGTGAGGCGAAAATGAATTTTTCGTATTCAAATTCCATGCTTTTATGGATCTGCTAAACCGTTTCGTGTTGTGTCTTTGTCAAGTGATCATGCGAAAGGGTGGAAGGTCTGGTGAAGCTCGCTACATCGCTAACACATCCAGCTCAATTCAGCTCGTTCGCACCACCCAATGCCCTACCTGTCGACTTCCAGTTTCACCTCAACTCCGTAAGGGAGCTCTCCAAACCAGTGAAACAGACGAAGTGTCTTCATCGGATCGCCCTTCATATTTCAAACCCCAAAATACCATCCGTCTACCTGCACCAATTCAACCAACATCCACGCTCTGCTGGAATCCAGGCCTTTCGCCGAGATGGCTATTTGGGATCCAGCATTCGCACAAACCTTGAAATCTCAGGTTCAATAGGATGGGCAAGAATGTCAACACCATGTATGGCAACTAAGCGAGAATTGCCGAGGATGGATGCTTGGCCAGTTCAAGCTCAGAGGCTTTCTGGTTCCGTACAGCGAAGACCGCTGATCCCACTCAGGTCTTTCATTGTTTAGCCATCCCTGAACAATGGGCACAAGGAGCCCAAATTGAACGTCCAAGAACATGCCTCATAGCAGTCGGGCGTAGAGAACCGGCGAGCGTGCGCCGCTTTCTTGCACAACAGGAACCTTCCGCACTTGTCATTGGCTTGAATCCAACAACTTCCACGCAGTTCATCGTCGCCACCATTGAAGAAGACGCACGTGCTCTACTATGCTCTGAGGGACAGGACCAAATCTTAGCATATGCCCCGCCATCCACCCTCGAGCCTGCCACATCCCGCATGGTACCAGATCTGTACTGAGCCTCACAGACCAAATGGGTGATAAAACCCTAGAGCCGCACATCTGAAAATCAATCAAGCATAACATGTCTCCCTGCAGACGATTCAAAAATGACCGTCGACCTGGATTCTTAACGGTTGAGGCATTCCAGCTCCCTTTTCTTGAACTTGTCACCGATTTTCAGACTTCATTTCGACTCAAAATATCGCTTTTGGCCAAATATGGGGTTGAGCCGCACTGGTCCATCCAATTGCGGCTTTGCAGATATGCGGCTCTGCAGTATATGCGTGCTCTGCAGTACATCCCCCGTTCTTCGACGAGCCGCACTGGAGAATCAGCGGGCAACCATTTTGAGGCTCTCAAGATGACATATATAGGACAACCTGGCAGTCTTTGGAGCTGTGCATTCTTCTGGTTCTCATTTCAAGCTCGGACCATACGATTTCAACACTCAAATGCGCCAAAACAAAATTTGTGTCTTGATTGCCCATTTCAACGCGCCAAGCTACGTCGAACATTTCTTGCGCCATGCGTTACTATCACCAGCTCGTACAAGGTGGACATCTAACTAATTGGTCTCCGAGAGATAGCCCCGAATTTGTCGGTCAATGACACCCTAGCTGTCGTGTTTGGAATCACCACCACGGTACTGGGTGTGATCGCTATCATTGCAACAATTGTGACTCGAGGAGCTCGAGTCCGTGGTTAGAATTCGTGCTTCTCTATTTGATTTTCACCGTCCTGACGGGATTGTATACAGGCGACGTCGAATTTGCGGCCATGCGACACTCCAACGTGCAGACTAAAACGGTTTTCAGACTCCTCGATAGACTTCCTCAGATCATTCATGGAAATGGAAGTGGATCGCCAGCCAGGGCTGGCCTTGGTGTGCGCGAAGAGCATGGCAGATTGGAATGACTTACCATTCCGAGCGACTTGAATGATTCACATCCGAGTTTTAAAAGATTCAAATTTCCTGTCTCTGAAGTGTTGAATGCTGCCTGATCTTTGATCAATAATACATCAGGTTATTCGTCTGTCCTGTAACTTTCGCGTCCCCTTGATCTTTACTGGACAGCCTCAATTTCACACTACGTTCAGAATGCTTCTATTGTCCAAGTTTGCTCTGCATACAGGAAATGCACATAACAACCCGGATCTACATCATTTGACACACCTATTGACTGTCTGGTACCCCTGTGGCATATCTAAATATCATTAAGTGCCTTTATGAAGGACACAATGCAGATGGCAGGTTAATACCCGTCTCGATCTACCCCAAAATTCTGTTAGCTCACCCACTTCTTTCCCAGCCTCTCCCCTTGTGTTGTAATTGAAATTTAACTGTTCCGATCATGTCTGGCATGGTTGATAATTCCATATTTACATTCGCTTCGACATCGCTTATGTGAGTTGTTCGGTGGACAGTTCGGTGAGCACTTCCAGCAGTGGCTGAAACCTGCCCCGCGTCAGCCCCATGGTGGGTGACAAAACCCCCAAGAATCCCCAAGTGAGAACAAACCGCTTGATGAGTTCTCGAACGTAGTCCGAAATTCCACGATGAGTTGGATAAACATCGCGTTTGGAACCCGTATGGGAGGCGGACCACGGCTAGACAAAGCCACTCCATTTGTAAGTTGGTTCCAGTTTCATGGAGATGTCAGAGCCTTACTCATACTTTCTAGGTTCCGGATGCCCTCTGCGATCAATGTCTTTCCATATTTAAGAGAGACTTCATATGGTCCTCATATGTTCCCAATATTCTGAATATTGATCCCGGCATTGAAGCCACTTGTCGCTTGTGTGCTTTACGGATCACACGGTTTAGCGAACTCACACTGTAACTCCTTTGAACATTGAATACACTCTCACTTCCCGCTATGGCTATTTCATTCGAGTTCACGACATCATATTCAGACTTCTTGGATCGACGTCGCGTGTGAGCAATGTTGTGAGGCTTAGACTACAGAAAATGAATCCGACTGGTTCGTCCTGAAAAGGTATTCCTACTAAATCCTTTGGGGATCAGATGATAACCGCGATATCCCCTATTTAATTCATTTAATATCAAAACTTTCTTCATTAACTTCATCGAAGGAGAGTATGCTCCAAGCAACAAGTTGGCTGAAAGACTGCTCTGAGAACCACAAGCAGTGTTCTGAAGCTTTCCCCAAATCAAAATTCGTGCCTTCTCGTTTGATCGAGATTCAGGGATCTGACGCAGGAGACTTGAGCATTCGACTTCGTGATAAGTCGAGCTTGCCGGCGCAAGTCAGCTATGCTACGCTGAGTCACTGCAGGGGACATAGCATGCCCTTCAAACTTTCTCTGGAAAACCTGGAGGGGTGCATGGAGAACCTGCCAGCTCACAGCATCACCAAGGTATTTCAAGTTACAGTGCATTTCGCAAATCAGTCAGGGATCGGATATATTTGGATTGATTCATTATGTAAGTAGTCCTCATACATTGACTCGACGATCACCGACTTGATATCTCGGGTATTGTTCAAGACTCACCCAAGGACTGGGCGCATGAGTCCTCACTTATGGGATCTATCTATCATCACAGCATACTGAACATTCCCGCGACCGGTTTTCGTTTGGACCGAAAGTTGGAGCTTC